TTCTATGGCAAGACTAGAGGTGGGAGAAAAAATCGATACAGCATAGTATCGCGATATTTTCTGTGGCAATACTGTATCGATACACGGGCGCCAAGTATCGATCTTTTATTATTTAAATTAGCTACACATGAGAATTTAACTTTGGTAGTAGAGTGCGTGTCTGCGTGAGTGTTCAGCGGTGCCGCGTCTTCTAGAAGACAGCTAGCTAGATTGCTATCTCTCTTCTCTCAAAATGTGTTGTGCAAGGCAAGCATCAAGCGCTGCGGCGATAATACACACTCGCGTTTAGGAGTCGGGACATGACGGAATATTCACTTGCACAATCGGGCCAGCAGTGCATCGTGACTGAAGTTTACCATTTGCACGTCTTTTTAAAGGCACACTGTGGAACTTTTCAACCTTTATAATATATTACCAAAACCCATTGAGATGGTACATCGACTTACAATAGGTTGAATGACACGTCTGCCGAAGGCTGAAGGTGTCTGTATCGCTTTTACCAGCACTATGTAACTTCGGGTTTCGGGTAGGAATCCGAGCACAAAAAGAACTACAAAATTCGACCGCTTTACGGCATACGTCACTTCCCCCACCACCCCAACTTCCTCAAATTCTAACGTGAGAGCTCAACTCGCGTTTGATTGCCGGCGTCTGTATGTTGTCGTCATGACTGAATCAACAGCTACTCGGAAGAAAGCAAAGAAAGCAAAGATTTTGTCAGAGGAGACCAAAAAAAGAAAAAGGGAGAGTTTAAAATAAACATCGGCATAAAAGTGTATATATAATGTAATATTTACTGCGAATTCGTGTAACAAAACTGATATAAGTCACAACATACTGCCGTATACAAATGTAAATGTTTTTTTTTCCTTTCAGCTCATATATGTTTGTATTTGCGTAAAAGGAAAAACAAACTGAAGACTACAAATAACGGAAATATGTAGTGAGTTATATCAGTTTTGTTACACGATTTCCCGACTACTCGATTTCATCTCCAACCCATTGCAAAGAGATCCTGAAGACGTTAATTGTTTGCTTCAGGTGTGTTTGATTAGGGTTGGAGATGAACTGTGCAGGACAGACGATCGGCAGGAGCAGGATTGGGCAACCCTTGTCAATGCGACTTACCTGATCAGACATTGTTTTCTGTGTATGCTACTTTTATTAAATTTGTTTTCTTTAAAGGATTTATATTATTAATCTTATATTTATATTATTATTTTGGTCAGTAGTGAATCGATTAACTTTCTCCAACATACAAATCAAATGCCGTCTGCACATACATAAAGACACGGGAGGTTGACCGGTTGACTGTTTGTTGACTTTTGCGACAATGCTGCGGCGCTTGTGGCCTCTAGGGGCACTAGACGTGAAAATTACAGGTCGAGCGCACCCTAGTGGCCAAAAATTCCACAGTGTGCCTTTAAGTCTTACCAGTTTAAACATTCAAGCGATTTTAAACTAATCAGTGTTCGCGCGCTCTGAGATTATTTTCTATGCGCACATTGATAGAAAATCCGCCCCAAAAACAGCTGGCCAGTAACAAATGTTATTTTTCGCGGATTGTATTGCTTTAACACGCAAAATTGTGTCAATTTCGGTCTTCGTGAGTATACTCTAAACATAGTCTGTTTTGTCTTTAAAAACCATAAAAGCATGTGACAGTATAATGCACACAGGATCCGTGCACTAGCTCTTAAAGTGACGGCAGCCATATGTGTCTGTCATTAATTTTGTTGTCAAAAAAACAACAAAAGATAGCTTTAAGTTAAAGGAATCAGGATTAATAGCCTATGTATTTAATTTAGTCAGGACTAAAATACTACCCAGTGTTACTATCTGGGTAGTATACAGTGTTGTATATCCATTTGATTACATTATTCAGTTTCTGTATTTATGAATACTAGTGTTAGACCTATTCAAAAACTTTTCTCTTTATTTGTCATTATTTGTATCTTTATTCTATTGTATTTATTTGTGCTACTTTTTTCAATTTAATTAAACAATTTAAATCAAGCTTCCTTGTGTTGTGTAAATTAAAGTTAGCTTTAAGAAAAGAATATTGCCCAACTATTTGTAAAAGGAAATTTGATTATTAAATTCATTTTTAAAAGAGGTAAATTATCTTTACAATTTCACATGGCTTTGGTTTATATTCAGTTAGATGGTCAGCGAAACCAGATGGTGTAACTTACCCACTGACTCAGATCAACTTACCCCTAACCTGGGGTAAATTGAGCCACCGGAACACTTTTTTTTAAAGAAGCCATATTTTAGAACCCTTTCTCATTGATGTATTCTGATCATTTAAAATGATAGGAAACATCCTAAAATTACTTTACGTACTATCATTGTACTTCTGCCTAATTTTCTCTCATCTTGAGGACCACATAATAAAAAAAGGCTCATCTTACCCCACTCTCCTGTCTCCCCTATGTTTGAGCTTTATGTGTGTGGTCAACGTGAAAATTGAGAAAATAAAATTGGATTGTTTGCTTGTCTTTCCCAACATCTTGTTGAAAAAGTCTTTGCAATATAATCTTGTTTGACCTCATATTGCATTTAGATAAAGATGCTTATGAAGCTCATGAAGGCATAATGTATTCGTTTCACGCAAGTACACTGAAGGTGCATGACCGGCTGGCTTTATTGACATGGATTTAAATACTCCGTTTCTGTGCAGGCGAGAAAAATAAACTGAGATTGGCTGTTCTCAGATTGGCTCAAAATGGCACTCTGTATTTGGCGCTATTGGAGATTTCCTGGTAATTGGGTCAGACGATCACATAAATCAGATGTGAAATTTTAGAACAGCGTGCTATTACCCAGCAGGTGACGTCTCCTTAATAGAAAGACGTGTCTCTTTCCATCCTGTTTATTGTGTGTTCTGCTGTTCCTAGTTTCAGTATTTGCAGAATATGATCGGGTCTTTGATCTTATTTGATCTTAGAGGCATGAAAAGATTCTATGGAGTCTTGGGAACAATCCAGGAGGCTCAGTCTCTGAATGAAGACCTTGGCTGTGGTGTGAAATTACTGTAGAAGTTGGAGTGGAGACCTTTTGTATATATCATACTGTGCAACAGAAGTGCTTGATAAACAGTTTCTGCATGGAGCACCTACACCCCCTTTTCCGGAGGTTTTCTGTCCTAGATAACCTTCCCAGAATGCCAGAGTGATTAAGCATTACCAAAATGTCACTTTGGCCTCTGGAGGTTTAATTCAGGAAAGATTGATGGACCCACAATTTGCTATGGACCCTCAACACTAATGACACAGGTGTGACCTTCAGCATTGTGTGGAAAGGGCTGATGTGCCAGAGCGAAGCCTGATATGAATCTGATCTCCTCACTGTACTGATGGGTAAAATTCGTTGAAAGATTACTCACTGATTTGCCATTAGAATCAGACCATTACTTTCTGGCAGTGGGCGTCTGGCTGGCAGGGAGAGGGTCAAGAGGGCACATCAGAGAGCCATGTGAATCTAGGGATTTTAAAGGGATAGTTCACTTTCTTCTGCAGAAACAAAAGAACAACAAGTGAAGATATTCGTCCATATAGTGAAAGTTAATGGGGTCCAATGTTGTTTAGCTAACATTTATGAATGTCTTTCTGTAACTTTTGATCAATTTTTTGTGCCCTTCCTAAGTAGAAGTTCTGATTTCGTAAAAAATAAATAAATAACACCAAACTTTTTACCAGTAGTGTATCTCCTCACTGTAAAGCACAAGCAACAGGACATTTTTTTGAGGTCTTGGTTTCCAAAATCCATAAGAACACAATTCATAAGACCTGAAACATATGCAAGTATGCGTGAACTCAAACACCACTTATTATGGATGTTCGGTTTAATGTGCAATGCATAAGATTTCTATTTGAAGGAAATACGGTTATTTTATACGTTCTATTCATCAAATAATCCTGAATGTTTTTAAATGACAGTTTCCACAAAATATCAAGCAGCACAACTGTTTTCAACATTGATAATAATAAGAAATGTTTATAAAGCACCAAATCTGCGTATTAGAATGATTTTAAAAGGATCATGTGACACTGAAGGCTGGAATAATGATGCGAAAAGCTCAGCTTTACCATTACAGGAATTAAATAGAAAACAGTTATTTTAATTGTAATAGTATTTCACAATATAACTATTTTATTTGTTCTCAAATAAATGCAGTCTTGGTGAGCATAAGAGCCTTCTTTCAAAAACATAAAAAAATATTAAAGGGATACTCCACCCAAAAATTCTGTCATCAATCGTTCTTCAAAATATCTTCCTTTGTGTTCAGCAGAAGAAAGAAACTCATACAGTTTTGCAACAACGTGAGGGTGAGTAAATGATGACAGAATTTTCATTTTTGGGTGGAGTATCCCTTTAACAACCCAAACTTTTTAATGGTAGTGCGTTGCGTTCATATATCATATTGTGTTTGGTTTGGACTGAATTGTAAAAATTGCTGGATTACTCTGGATTACATATTGTGGTAAGTAGTCCTTCAGCAGACACTTCTATTGATGTGTTCAAGGGCATAATGCTGATCTCCTTGCCGGGCGCAAACTCAGGTTTTATCCACTATTCCGTGTCAGTCCATATTTTGTGTTCCTTTATCTATCAGTGTTGAACAGTCTGCAGTCTTGGCCATTCTCACAGGACAGAAATATATCTTGATTAATCCATCCATAATCAATGATATATTTCTGATTCTGTCTCACAGGACCAAAATATATCTTTGATTAATCCATCCATAATCATCTCGTGTTGATTTGACGAAAAGATGATGTGGCAATGTTTCAGGCAGGGCCTTTCTCAGCCTGTTTGCACGACTGTGCCCCTTCATAATCAGATCTGGCTTTGATGTCCCACTCTTGACCTTGCATTAGGTGCTTCTCAGTCCAAGTGCTGCTGTTTCTGTGATCACACTTCTCATATAATATCGACCTAAAGATGCCATCCTAATGTAGAATTAAATAACGCAGTTTTTTTTTTTCTCCTGAAAGTGAGCAGCCACTATTCAGCATGAAGGCACACGTCTTCCAAATTGACCCGGACACTAAACGAAATTGGATTCCGGCCAGCAAACACGCCGTCACAGTCTCCTTCTTCTATGATGCTGGCAGGAGTGTGTATCGCATCATCAGCGTAGGGGGCACTAAGGTGAGAGACCTCGGCTACAACTATCAATAAGAAAATTACATTTTTGTTATTTGCACCCTGATTTTATTAATCAAAATGTGATATTTTTTTATATTTGCTCTACTACAGGCGATTATCAACAGCACCATTACACCTAATATGACCTTCACGAAAACGTCACAGAAGTTTGGCCAGTGGGCGGACAGCAGGGCGAACACAGTGTATGGCCTTGGGTTTGCCACAGAGCAGCAGCTTCAGCAGGTAAATGCATATTGTAGAAGTTAATGTCAACTAATGCAGTTAACAAATTGTAAAGAGTTACCAAATTTTTTTTTTATTTTTTTTATTTTACTTGTAACTTTTTGTAACGATTTTAAATTATTGCTGGTTACAAGGAAATAGAGCTCAACGTAATGGGCCCTATCATACACCCACCTCAATGCAGAGCCAGGCGCGATGCAAGTGTTCTTTGCTAGTTTCAGCCCGACGCAGTTCTCGTTTTCACGTCCTGTGCCACGTTGTTTAAATAGCAAATGCATTTTGCGTCCATTTGTGCGCCCATGGGCGTTTTGGTCTGAAAACGAGGTGTGATCAGGCGCATTGTTGGCGCGTTGCTATTTTGAGGCAACTGAAATAGACTGAAATAGCATTGACCAACTGAAACATGGTCTAAAGTCAATGACGCAATATTTTTTTTGTTTTTTAAAGAGCGCGTTAGTATTGTGCACCTATAGGCGGGTCCACAATGCGCGTACACTCTGCTTATTACACACAGGGACGCGCAGCAGCACACAAACATGCCAAATATTAAAAATAAAAGGATTACAATGTAGAAGATTATTATTGTATACATAAAGATATGGTGAAATCCGGCTTGTCCCAGTAGACGGTCTGCTTGCGCACTTTAATCTCGCGCACAAGAAGATCTGTTTGCTCTCTGGGGGTGCGTTCGGTCTTTCTGCTTGCAAATTCCGCCATGTAAATAGCGAATCCGTCATGGCGCAAGCACACCTGGCTTTTAAAGGGAATGGGAAATTACACTCTGATTGTTTTTTTTGCATGTTACGCCCAAAACACACCAATTGCTCATTAAGAGAATAAGGACAACCCTTTTAGACCCTGCGCTGGGCGCACCGAGCACTTTTCCCATTGTTAAATTAGAAAAAGTGGATTTGGACACGCCCTAAGTGCACTTGCACCGTGCACTTTAAACCATGCGCTTAGATCGTTAAAATAGGGCAAATGACTTAAGTCTGGAATATTTGACCCATATGCTGTGATTGACCAATCCGAGTTAAGTATAGATTCATGTAGTAATGTATTAATCGGCTAACAGTGCTTCATAGATAGATAGATAACATAATAGATTAGTTAATGGTATGCTAATCCTGCAAGTTAATTGGATAGCGGTATGCAAAGATAACATATTCATTTATTAGAATTATGCCGGCTAATTGGCTAGAGGCATGGGTCCCAGTTTATATTTTATATAACTACAATATTGTACTTTGATACAATACACATATGGCGCTTTTCCACTGCTGGTACGGCTCGGTTCGGCTCGGTACGGTTCGACTCGGCGCGGAACGGTTCGGCTCGCTTCGCTTTTCCACTGCGTGGTACGACTCGACTCGGTACGGCACGGTTCGGTTCGCTTTAGCTCGGTTGCTTTTCCACCGCAGTTAGTACCTCTTCAAAGTGGGTGGGACTGATCGTTATTTTGTCCCTACACTGTTGTAGGTCCGGTGATAGCCGTGTGCGGCTAAGAGCTGAGCTACTTCTTGGAACACTTTTTCATTCCGTTTTGCCCCATCCAGCTCTCGCTAGATCCGCTCCTCGGCAACCAACGAGAGGAACGTCTGCACCTCGTCCACTGACCACGATTCAGCCATTTCTTTTTAAAGTTTAAAAAACAGATGCTACCGCGTTGGCTGTTGTCTACTGGTTATTTAAATCTAGCGGGTTTAGTGTCCAATGACGCTGGTAGTGACGATTCTGTCTGACCAATCAGTGATCTGCAGTGTTTTTACGTCACATTTTAGTACCGGTACGGTACGCTTGGAACCTCAACAGACCAGGTACCATTTAAAGCGAGCCGAAGCGAGCCGTACCGTACCGGACCATGCAGTGGAAAAGCACCACAAGTGAGCCGTACCGAACCGAACCGTACCGTACTATGCAGTGGAAAAGCGCCAAAGCGTGCCGTACCGAACCGTACCGTACTATGCAGTGGAAAAGCGCCATTATTGTGTACATGCATGTTTTACATTGTAGTTATATTTAACAAAATACCTACATGTTATTACAGCTGTATTTCTTTTCTGTAATGACATCTTTTTTTATTATGCAAGTAATATAGTTAAATAGTTAAATGAAAAAAAAACAGTTATGAATGTTAATTTGACCATTAATAGTTTTATTTCTTATCGATTATGTAACATAAGTGACAGTTTAAAAGAGATTCAGAGAACATTTTGGGGTCCACTGCTTGTCATGTCTTTAAGCAGCATCTGTATTCAATTAATATTCAACAAAATTATTGATTTGAATGCACTGACACCATTGGATGAGAACTGAACTGATCTGGATGATGACATTACAGTTTTCTCCAGAGCGTTATAGCTTAATTTGAACTCATTCCTTAATTGAAGAACTTTACAGTTATTGAACCAAACTGAATCAACACTAGGGATGGGAATCGAAAACCGGTTCCACTCGAGAACCGGTTCTAAATTTTACGATCCATCGATATTGTATGCCCTCGACGTTAACGAGTCCTCTTATCGATGCTCCTGCTCTGTCCCTTTTGTCCTTTATCAAGCACCATAGCACCGCGTCCAAAGCTAATCTTTGTCCTGCAAAGTCTTATTTGATCAGTGAGTAAAATTGTCTCTCTCTGGTAATGTAGATGAACCGCTGCGCTTGTGACAGGGCGCATGTTAAACTGATCGAGCAGAGAGAGAGAGAGAGAGAGAGAGAGAGCGAGAGAGCCCCGGTCGCGCGCACGCACTCTCTCTCTTCGGAGCAAGGCGAAAGTAGGCTTCACCGTCTCAAAACTAAGCGCTGTCTTCCTCTCTCCCTCGCACATATTAATCAAAATAAACGACACGATGGTAAGGTAGGGAGACTAAAGTTTTTTGTGGAGCATTCGGAGATTTGTTTTTCCTGAATTGCCGCTGGGTGTGAATTGTGCTAAAATACGTTGCCTTATCTTCTCTGAAAAGTGTTCCGCACATTCAGCTGACATAATCACACTTCAAATAAACGAAAAAAACGATCCAGTGATGAAATGTTTTCTGTGATGACACACATCTTGTGGGATGTCCCAACTGCCGGGATAATCACACAACGAGCACACGTCCGATAATGACACGTCCAATTCGCGAACTAATTACTCATTTGAACCGATTCGTTTTAATGAATGGTTAAAACAAATGATCTTTCCAACACTGAACTCACGGGGCGTTTAATCGGTGTATAACTAATCGGTAACACTTTACAATAAGGTTCCATTTATTACATAAAAAGTACAGTTTGCTTAGTCAAGTGTAAGCTTTAAAACAAATAAAACAACTTGTTTTTTCCCCCGAAAAAGACTACTTTTTCCCTCACAGTGCTATCAGGAATCGATAAGAGAATCGTTAAAGAATTGGATCGATAAGCAGAATCGTTAGTGGCATTGATATTGATAAAATCTTATCAATTCCCATCCCTAATCAACACTGAACTGATTTCAGAATTATGACTGTGTACTATTGTCTTTTTACAACCAAATTGAATCATTATTTTTCTGTTAACCACTGTAAAGCAGCTGTGAAACAATCTGTATTATGTAAAACGCTATATAATTAAAGGTGACTTGACCTAACTTCACAATATAGCATGGCCTCTTGTTACTTATTGCTATATATTCTCAAAAATTGTCACTATGAAACTTTTAATCATGTCACTGTAATTGTCTGTGCAGTTCTCAGAGCAGTTTAAAGAGTTTAAGGAGGCTGCACGTCTCGTCCGTGATAAATCACAGGAGAAGTTTGAGCTGTTGAGTCCTGGCCTAAACATCTCTGCTCCACAGGTAAACACAATAACTTGAGTTAATCTTGAACCTTTTAGAAGTGTGACTGAAAACGAGACACATCATAACGTAATGATTAAAATTTAGACGTGTAATAACTCATGTCATACTTTCTCAGCTGCTCGATTCAGATAACGTGCCAGAGCATTTCATTCCATGCTATTAACCACTCTAACAATAGCACAGAGGATCGACTGGCCTTTAGTGATATGATACCTAATGCGGCCATCACAATTTTAATATCAGTCACATAAGAGAAGTGGTTCACTGTGTTTATTTTTTTTTTTTTTTTAATTCTTAGTTAGTGTGACTCACAGAGCATGTCCTCGCATGCCAGGAGGTGACACAGAGACACTGGTTGTAGCCAGTGTGAAGTTATGTAACTCTGTGCGGTCACCCGGGGAGTTCAAATGCCCTGTTAATTTTGCTTTACAGTTGGCTGACCTTTTCCATTCATCATTTGTGGACACACTCAGCCCTTAATTATCATGACAATTACACTACTTTATTGCAGCCTGAGAGTATATCAAAGTCTACTTACACATACAATTAGAATATGAGTTTATATAATATATCTAATATTTGATTAAACCGCTCAATCCAGTTTGACTGGTTTGCCATAAGAGGTGCGGTAAATTTAGTCAAGAACGTGTTCTTGTAATATTTCGTAATATTTCACCCCCAAACCAAAAGTAGTAAATTAGAAATATTATTATATTATATTAAATGTATATATTATATATTTATGCTGAATTAAAGGGGTAATGAACTGAACTGAATAATGATTTTTTTATAATGTTATCTGAGGTCCACTTATATCAAAATTTTTAGATCAAAAAACATCCTAATTTAAAAGTAAGCTATTTTCTATCCTGTTTTTGACCCTCTCTTTCAAACACTCGATGTTTTGATAGGCGTGCCACATTCAAGACTTGTAAGTAAACGCCCACTGCTATTATTGGGTAACATAGTTGGGTAACAACACAGTTTTGCATATTAAAATAAGTACTTGGAGTTACCACAGTTATAATTGACAAAGGATGACTCATTCATATAAATGTCATTCTGATAGGCAGTGAGGCAGTATAGCTATTCACATCCTTTTCGATAAAGTGAAAAACATATATTGCAATGTTGTGTTTTAAATGAAATGAAACCTGTTGTAATGTCTTACTGATGAAAAAACAGAAGATGTCTCTCACTGAAGCTTACAGGGAATGGCTTAGATCAAAACAATAACAAAAGCAACATTCTGTACGTGCTTTCTTCCATATCTGATATTCCAACGCATTAACCCCACAAATGCCGAAGCAAAGGAAAGTACAGCATATCACAACTATTCAGTTAGACTGTGGTGCTACAGTGTAAATACTCAGTACGAAGGGTGCCATGATTTCGATTTTAAATCGAAATCGACCGAAATTAAGTCACAATCTCGAACTTCGAATTAAAAAATGGAATCGTCGATGCTGCCACGTCCCCATGTCACGTCCGGCGTGCCAAGCGGGAAAAAACACGCGTGTTGAAGTGCTGCGAGTCAACCTCCTCTAACTTAGCTACAGCCAGTCAAAAGATAGCATGGCAACTGCAGATGCAGGAGACCCATCGACAGAACTTGAACCCCCTACTCTTTCATTGAAGTCGCCGGTGTGGAAGTATTTTGGATTTCCAGTGAGTTATGTTGACAACGTTCGCGTTCAACATTCGCGCTTCAAAAAAGCCACAGTTTGCAAGCTCTGCTATGTGCATGTACCATATTCTTCCACTGGCAGCATGACTAACATGGCAGGGCATCTCCGCAGGCACCACCAAAACAGTTTTATCTGTTAAACCAACAACTGTTTGTTTGTTTTGTGAACTTGAATGTCATCTTCTGTGAAGAAGACTGCAGTTACAAAAGGGTTATTTTGTTTATGTTTCCAATTGACTAAAGATACAAGTTATTATATTATAAGCACTTTATGTTGTTAATAAATGTTTTAAATTTGACAATGTAGTGTGGTACATTGCGGACAAAGGTCAGATATTATATTGCCTAAAAGTCTAGTCTAAAAATGGTATAGCAACCTGTGCTTTTAAAAAAAAATGTTAAAATCGAGAATCGAACCGTGAACTTGGAATCAAAAATTAAATCGAATCGAAGATTTGGAGAATCGTGACACCCCTACTCAGACAGTACATAATATCAAACGATCTGTATCATACAAAGCAATATAGTGACACATGGTAAAAACACTGTTGGACATTGAAGTTTTTCCCTCCTTTCCATCTCGCTTTTAAATCGCTATCGCTTATGAATGCCCGTGCAGCCGTGCGCATTTTACTTTCAAATTAGCGGCAATTCGGGGGTGGCATTTGCGTGAATGGTGGGTTCATTATTCTTAATGAAAAACACAACTACAAAACAGTACAATGACAAACTCACTTATATTAAACAGAACTTTTATTAACAAAACGAAAAGCATGGCATGCATCATAAATGAAATCTGACTCCTGCTGCTGATCTGTGCTGCGACTCTCTCTGAAAAGCCTGCGGCGAACTGTCAAACGAATCCGCAGTAAAATGAAGCGAACAAACAGAGTCTCACTGATGCGATCTGACTGGAATTTTGTTAAAAATAAAGTTCATCCACGCTTTCTTAAAGGGATACTCCACTTTTTTTGGAAATAGGCTCATTTTACAACTCCCCCAGAGTTAAACTGTTGAGTTTTACCGTTTTTGAATCCATTCAGCCGATCTCCGGTTCTGGCGGTACCACTTTTAGCATAGCTTAGCATACATCATTGAAGTGGACAAGACCATTAGCATTTCTAAAAAAAAAATGACCAAAGAGTTATGGCGTAATGATATGACGCAGCGCCTGAAAATAGTTCCGTTGTGTTGACGGACGGTAGCCTGTTTTCAGGCGCTGCGTCATATCATTACGCCTGCTGCTCTCATGGTACGGCAGTGAAGTTTCTTGATTATTACGCAGGAATGAGAGTATAGTTCCTAGCCATATCAGCCTAGAAAATCGCAACTTTACATTTTCCGTCGGTCTTAGTGCACGATGTAACTACAGAAGAGTCAAGTTTTAAATAGGAAAAATATCGAAACTCTTTAAGCATTTTTTTTTTTAGAAATGCCAATGGTCTTGTCCACTTCAATGATGTATGCTAAAAGTGGTACCGCCAGAACCGGAGATCGGCTGAATGGATTCAAAAACGGTAAAACTCAACAGTTTAACTCTGGGGGAGTTGTAAAATGAGCCTATTTCCAAAAAAAGTGGAGTATCCCTTTAAAGAGGTGGTAAAAAGCCCTTTTTACAAGATGTAAAAATAAGTCTTTGATATCCCCAGAGTGTGTATGTGAAGTTTTAGCTCAAAATACCCCACGGATATTTTTATATAGCATGTTAAAATTGTCACTTTTTGAGGGTGAGCAAAAACGCACCTTTTTTGTGTCTGTCCCTTTTAAATGCAAATGAGCTGCTGCTCCCGGCACAGAGGGCGGAGCTTCAAGAGCTCCTCCTTAGCAGCTTTGATGACCTCACACTGACATGCACTGAAAATTTAAAAAACGTAACCTTTTATGTTCAAACCGGAGTCAGACAAAGTTATTGCATGTAATATAAGAAAGATATGTACAATCATAATAAAAATAAATATATTTTATATAAATAGATATACATTTATATATAAAAAAATATAAATATATCTTTTCTCAGCAGTTTCTCAGCATGAGAATGTCCACATTTAATGATTTTTTTCTTTTTTTCTAAACATTTCTTTCTATCAAACGATACCTACCTTTTGATTCTCCTTGCTATTGTTTTGGAGTTATGAGTCTTTACTTTTGTGTATGTAAAAATGTCTGAAAAAAAAGTCTGGATACATTATGGTAATGAGTATTATTTGAAAAAATATGCATCATTTTCATTAAAATGATCTCAAAATCCAAAATATCGCAGTATGCTTTGTGTTGTGTGCCCATATACAGTATTCTGTAGTTTAATGGCCATGACAGGCTTTTATCTTATAAGATCTTTTGCGTTCAAACATGCCTCCGTAGAGCGTATGAAACAGACCGCTGACTGAGAGATATTCATTATTTAATCAAACCTGAGTGTTTAGAGTTCAAAACAGCAACAGTGTGCGCTGAATAATGCTGCCCTTATTAATTAATAAAGTGTTTTTTCGGGGTGCTGCATTAGACCAGGGGTGATGGGGTGAAAAATGGAAGAGTATAAATAAGTCAAACAGAGAGATGTCTTTGATCACTGAATCTATATGTGTGTGTGCTTCTAAAAGCTTTCTGGCCAAGTCCAGTATTCTGTTTATATAACGGCTCATACGTTATTGAATTCACACTGTTCATACTCATACTGTTTTGAATCTTTTGCAAGAAAGTGTGTGTCCTTGCCCGTGCAAAACTTGGCACACTTATGTTTTTGTTCAAACTGTTAAGTATGAGTGTTTGTAATAGTAAGGTTTCCCTTAGCAAGCATCACCTGTGTACATTCAGCCCACTTACTAAATGATATGTTAATCAATGAAATGCTTCTATCTTCTTTCTCTCCATGTCTCTTCTGTGGTGATGGGATTGTCTCTCTCAGCTGTCTCAGGTAAGCTGTCAAACTACCATCTGCATCTGTTTCCACATACAATGACACACCTGTGTCCCCTGTGCAGCTGACACACCACCGCACATTCATTCCACTCTTGTGACAGAGGTCCTCAAACCCCTCAGGAAGCCCTGGTTATGAAACCCTGCCATGCAAGATGGCATATGGTGCGCTCAAGTCATGTTGGAAAGATCGGTTTTATGAGTTGAACGCACATAAACGCCAAAATGTCGTAAATATGATTGGGAAGCTTGGGATTTTCTTAAAGCCCCGATGTTTACTAGTTGAGGGCGTGTCAGTGAGAAACATGAGAATAGCATTGTAATATAACAATATAATATGTAATGATAAAGTTTAATCTGGATCCATAAATGAATTAAAAACATAAAAAAGCAA